GGAGGCAAAAGAGAAAGGTCCTGCAATAGTGGAAGAAGCCAAAAGACAGGGAGTGGCACTTCTGGTTTTGGGACAGAAGAAGAAGTCGATCACTTGGCGTCTGATAATGATGTGGGCAGGCAATCGGATAGCGGTCGGAGCAGTCGAATACTGTATCCAAAATGCTACCTGCATGGCTGTTGCAGTCAGAAGGAAAAGCAAAAAGCTTGGTGGCTATCTGATCACTACTAAACGCCACAAGGATTTCTGGCTCTTGGCTTGAAACTACACACCCATCATTTCTTTAATTGGAATGTTTTGTCTGTACGTAATACTCTTTGAATTTGATTTTGTTGGTCATGTTGCATGTTGTGGTGAATATGAATAGAATATTAACGGAAACTTTCCCTGAATCCTAAATAACACTGGTTTAAAGCTATCAAGTAACTTAGAAAATGGAAAAAGGGAATTGGGGTGAATGGAAAAGGTTGTGTTGTGTCATCATTCACGGCCAGGTGGTTATGGATAAAGGGAAAGATTATTGATTTCCTTGACCCCTTTGGGCTCCCACTCTTCCCGGATGAGGAATAAATATCAAGAAAATGAATAATTGATTGAAATTGCAACATTAAATTCAATTAGTGGATCGATTTGTATGAATTTGATTCGAGTGATAATTAAATGTAGGCTTAATACAAAAAAAAATCAAATTATGTCTTAGAAAACGTTTTAGTACCTAAAGATTTTTTCGTTAAAAATAAGTGTCTAATGTTTTCAACGTTACACTTTTAAGAGTCCATGCATTAACCGCCGTTAAAAATCATCGTTAAATGACACGTGTCATGTTCTGGTATTTTTTAGAATTTATTTTAAAAATTTAAAAAGAAATATTTTTATTGAAAAATAAATATAATATTAAAAAAACTTTTCTAAACCCCTCTTAACCCCAACCCCGACCAACAATCACCCAAATCAATTGTCAATCATCACAAAACAGTAAGAAATTATTTATTGCCTTTTACCGTCGAATTCTTTTCCAGCTAATCGTGACCGTCACCACTTCCACCAGAGATAGCGTCATTTAACGCCAAGAAAATCCCAACCGCCCACTTATCGAGTAGTGCCGTCGTTTGTTGTGGAAGATGTCGTCGAAGCTTGGGTGAAAACCCAACCATGGTTATTTTGTAATTTTAAAAAACTTTAGGTTTTTTATAAATAAATTAAGTTTTTTATTTTTTTTCATTTTCCTTTTAAAAATAATATTTTTATTTTTAAAAAATCAAAAAATTATAAAATATGACGATAGGGACAAAAATATAAGTAAGAAAACGTTAGATTTTAACAAAAAATTCTTTAAGCACTAAAAAAACGTTTTGTATTATGCCTTAAATGCATAAAGTTCAAATTCTAAAATAACCATAATACAGTTTTCATATGAAACCCATCATCATGGGGTCCGCCCCGAATTGCCAACTTGTGTTTGCGGCAGTGACGCTGGTCGGGTGAGCAACGACACGCCATAACAGGAAGTAGTGTGCATAGGTTTTTTATTAGTCTATGGTGATTATAAGATAATATATATGTTCGAAAAATTCTCAATCATTTGATAATGAACACTAACACTCCTGCAGACGTCGTGCTCGAACTTAGAATCTCAAGATAACAATCATCCCTTAATCAATGAGATCGCTTGATTCATACAATATTATGCATAGTTGTAATTATGACAATTTGGTCATTGATAAGGTTTTGGCCTAAACCATGCAAATCTTATCTTTAATTGGTTTACAATGAATGTGTTCCATCCGATTAATTGGTAAATTGGGTGTCATTGTCCCTTCATGTTTCTATGGATCAACTTCATCTAAGATCAAAAGGGACTAAATCAACCCTCCATGCTTGAATGCTGAGTTCTTCCTTATGGTAAAATAGAGCCAGTTTTTTGGGGAGTAATCTAGCCGATGCCTAAGTAGCAACAATTTATAACATTTTTTTGTTATCTCCAAACGTACCTGGTTGTCAGGTGACTACGAGCTTGATATGCAAAAACCATTTGCTTATTCCGAGTGAAATTACCTGATAGCTGTGAATCATCACTTGTCCTACATAAAAAGTACATATCCGAGCCAATATAACACTAAACAACAAAATGCATGGACTTCAACACTTGATGCTAATGAGTTACATGATTAAAATCAATCCTACTCGAACCTAAAAAGATAGTTACAATGATTAAGGCAAATTTCGAACAGTGACCCACTTGTTCAAGCATGCTTAAAATGCAATTCAACGACATAAATGCAACAGATTCCAAAGCAATTGTCTTCTTTATCTTTCCCATGACCATGAGAGCATTGTATAAAGAGTAAGGCCCATCTATAGATAAGTATGTACAGTGATGGGTCCTTTGTCCCTTAAGCATGCAGCATGCAGCATGCAGCACCTAAGCAAAGAACGGTTGAAGATTCCCACACCATTTGGACCCAATATACATATCCACTCACCAATCTGGTAAAGCCATAAAGGCTCAACAAAATTTACCCAAAAACAAACACTTAATGAAAATGATAACATAGCATACTAATTTAAAATTATGGTTTCCTATTGGTCTGCTCGTGGTCAAATGAATCTATAATAATACGAATACCCATGTTTAACATATATCTAAACAAAAATGTAGGACATGATTCTCCGAGGATACTAAAACTGCATGAAAAAAGGGGGAGGGGGGAATATAACATAACCTTGTCCAACACTTATACCTGAATCCAAGTACATAAAAACAAAATAAAATAATTCTGAAACACATTTTTGTACTAAATATATCCAAGTAGAGTATAAATCATGCTGTAGGAGATACTTTACAGTTTTCAAATAAAAAATTCATAAAATATGATATTGGACAAGTTAATCTAGAGAGTAAATTGTGGAATAATAGAACTTACACAATAAGCTCCCCTGTAATACAAGTTTATGGGGAGTACAGCAACAGGTTGTGATGCAACCTGTTCTACATTATAGATTAAATCACAGCAGTTGAGTTCAAAATACTCCTAAACCCAAATGTCGTGCACATCAAATTTAGGAAACAATTAATCAGCGTTAGTTCCTTTCTGAAACTGCAGTATAAAATATAACCAGATGTTCCTGGCATATAGCAATGATATCTTTGCAAGTATTTACATCTGATTTACAATTTTGTCCAGTCCACCCGATATGAACTGGCAAAAAATTTCTAATACATGCAGTAACACCAAAATTTTAAATCCTAGCTGCACATGAAACAATAAAAATTGCATTGCAGTATCAAATTTTGAACCTGTGTTGGCACTCAGTGACACGAAGTCCCTAAAAATTTCTCCTTCATGCGAGAAATAAGCTTAAACTTCTCCTCCGCCTCAACCTTCTGGAGAATATCAGTTTTAGATGCTCAGTCAGGATGAAATCTTAGCAAGGCTCGTTTATAAGCAGCATGAATCTGGGAAAGACCATTAATCATTGTCAGAGAACAAACTGAAATCTTAAGATGGACTTATATCATACAAATTCTAATCTCCCCATGGCCTCACAATTCAGGAATTATATCCAGGAGTTGATGAAACAATAGTGTGGTTGTTATTTTAAATGTTCTAATAAAAACAGGGCAGAGCACCTAATTTGATACCATTGAGGACTAAGATAACCATATATCTGAATCAACAAAAGCCTTCTGCGGATTCACTCAAGAAACTATAATATTGTCAAGGATATAAAAAAGAAAATCCAATTTCACTCACCTCATAGGACAAGGGATAAAAACTGCCACCTACAGGGATTCCCAAGTTACGAAGCAATGAGACGATATCGATGCATGATATTTCCAATTTACTAAGCTCCTTTCGTACTTCTATTCTTAGTTGTTCCTTTAGGTTCAGATATTCCTCATTCTTTAATAGAAATCATTTAACAGATTAAGACATTACTAATCAAATATAAAGCAGAAAAGGATGAAGTACAAGCAACACGAGCATAAAATAGAATTACAGATAAATATCTCTACCTTCTTTTGTGTCTCCCTCATTTCCTCCAGACGTTGCTTTTGCCGTCTCTCCATATCCAGTAAATGCATACTTTCAACTTTTTCCCTTTTCCGCAATCTTTGAGCCTCTTCAGCCTGCAAAAGAAGTGAGATACATGTTAAACACCACATTCAATCAAATATTCCATGTGTCTTCAAACGTAGGTTTAAGTCAACCTAGAAAAATAGAAAGCTGTTTACCTTTTACATGTACATGCCATCTGCAAAACTAATTTTATAGTCCAGCTTCATCAAGTTTAAACACTAAACTAATACAAAATAGGCAAGTATAAAACTGTTAATAAGACCAATATTAATCATCCAAAAAGGGACAGAAACTGAAATTTATTTAACAAATTATTTGAAGATTATAACATTTACACTACTCAACAACTAACATTTTTACAAATTAACCTGAGTTAACAGTATAGTGGATGACAAACAGACAGCACAAAGGAAACTGTCTTGATGTTAAAAAGGAGAAGAGGAAGATGTGGTTGCACCAACACACTTTCTGACAACTAAAAGATCAGACCACTATATGAAAGACTAGTGGCAGAATGCAGATTTCCTCATCAAAACAAGTTTTTAAATACTTGTTCGGTTGTTCCCTAAAATCCTAGCAATATACTGAAAACAAAAGGTAAGCATTCAGCCAAAGATAGAGAACCAATTTAAATGCCAAACCTGAATTTGTAACTGTCGCTGCCGAGATGCCCATTCTTCTTCCACAGTTCACTTGTATTCATCTGTCTCTTTGAGATTTTCTCGGTCAATAACTGTATCCTTTTCACAAGAAACTATGGTATCAACTACTTGAACATGTAATGCACCACTTTCATCAGATTTTTTACTGTCGGGCATAGAATTAATGTTTGATTGCTCTGCCACGAGAGAAGACTGCCTAGTTTGAGTTCCATTAATCTGAGAATTGTCTCCATCACAATAATTCTTACTGCTGACTACGCGAATTCCATCTAATGGAGTCTTAGCGGAAGTAGATTCATCAAAAAGTGTTCCAACTTTGACACCAACAGAATTCAAACCATTATCAACTTGTTTTTCTTCTGATGATTTAGGAATTGAAAACAATGGTTCTTTGGATTTTAGCTTCTCTTTTCCATTTGCAACTGTATTTCCATGTTGCAAGTCACTTGGGTAAGGATCACAATTTGACGGTGCCTGAGAAAACTCTTGATTGCTATCCCATGAAAGAGGACCTTTCATAAATCTTTTTCTTTCAAATATATCAGATTGAACATGAGAAAACTGTGCTTCAGGAGTAAGCCCATAATTTGATCGTGAAAAGCTTTCATGCTCATCTTTCTTCTCAGATTCTACGAAAGGCCTTTCTGTCCCACGATTGAGACAAATATCATCCAGAAAATTATCATTATTAGTCTCAAAGGCAGAAGAGTTTTATTTCTGAAGATTTGAATCACTTGAACCAGAGGCCGCTAGGGTTTCAGAGTATTGTTGACTCATATTTTCTCCAACTCCTGGAGGAGTATCATTATGTGATCCTGAGAAACTAGTCTGATCCTCTAAACAAGATTGACCATTTCTAAAATTATATCTCCTTCTTTGGGAAGCATTCTCCCACTGTTCTTGCAATTTTCCAACAGAACCTTCAATAACTTCACAATCAGTATAATCACTTTCGGATGAGCAATCCTCGGACTCAGGACTTAAACCAAAATGTTTTCCACAAGGAGTCTTCCCTGCATAGGTTTTCTTGCACTTAGATGGTTTAAATGCAGGTTTCTTTTCCCACATGAACCAGCAGTCATCATCATCTAATCCTGTAGATTTCTGCTTAAAGTCAGGTACAGGACAACTTTTTCTTGAGGAGGCATCACTATCGAAGTCATCACCGCATTCAACACAAATTTCAAGATCATCCATTTTATCAGATTCATCATCATCAATGCTAATTACATCTGAAGCAGGGAAATGCTTACCACCCTTTGATCCAGTGGAACTTTGTAAATCTTCCTCCGCAGATTAAGGAGCATCAATGATGATAACATTCTCAAATCTATCACCATAAACATCAATGAAAACAACAATCTAATACCATAAACATCAATGAAAACAACATTCTCAAATTTCCCATTCATGTTGCAGCTTTTCAGCGGGTTGTTCCTTGCTCTTTTCCCTCTCATTTTACTTTTGCTTCCTACATGCACAAAAGCAGAACATATTTCTGATTAGCAATAATACAACTGCAATACAAAATACACAATAATTTCACATCAAACTTTCATGAAATATAAAATATAAACATATGTTTGGAAATGTTACAATTATAATTTAAAAAAAAATTATAAATAGCCTTTTTCCAGTTAAGCGACATTTGTTTAGCATTTTATAATTAGACACATAGCCCACTAACAAACATAAACAAAACATAGCGTTGAGTCTGATGTGGAAGGATATAAACCATTGTCCCCAGTACAACCCTCAAGAGAGTTGGCCGCAAGATTCAAGGGCATAATCTAATAAGTACAATGATCAGAAAGTTAAGTAATCGTTAAAATAAAATTTTAAAGCTCGAAACACACAGAAACATAACTCATGGAATAAAAACTAAACAGAACTAAAAAAAAGGTAAAAAAATAAGCGAATTAAAAAACAACCCAACAAGCTTAAGTTCACTAAATTCACAAATGAAAACCACAGAAAGTCGTATCAAGTATAAGCCCTAATTCCAGTTAGCAGTTACAAACGCAAAATTGAAGAGAAATCATAAAAATATAAGCATAACCGGAGATAGCTACCATAAAAAAATAATGACAGTAGGGGTGAAATTAAATGATCAAATTACTGAAAATGCAACAGTCCGAACTTACTTTAATCAAAGCGACCGAGAAGAGAATAGAATAGATAAAAAGGGCAGGATTCAAAAGGAAAAGGCGATGGGTTTATTATGATAAATGAACAGTGAGATCATTGACGAAATTGAGTCGTTAGGGTTTTATGAAAAATTGGGTGACCGCTTTCAAATTGGAACCAAAACTGTTAAATCCGGAGGAAGAAAATTCGTTTTATTATCTCATTACATCCCTATACTTTACTCTAATTTTCACTTTACCCCTTTTTGTTTTTTCTAAATTAACTTTTTATATTCATTATTCCAATAATATTTTCTGTTTTAGAATACCTCTTTGGCTTATTTAATGACGGTACATCTCCCGGTAAAGATAGTATCGTTGATGGGTCAGTCGACCATCATACTACGGCCAATGACTGCCCTTCAAGTAGGATTGGGTTCGAGGAAGTCATAATGGCTCTTAGAAAGATGGGGAGAGACAAAGCTGTCGGTCCAGATCAAATTCCTATCACTGTGTGGTTGACCCTAGGAGAAGAGGGAGTTAAGTGGTTGACCAACTTTTTTAATATTATTTTAGAGACTGCCAAGATGCCAAAGGAGTGGAGAGAGTCTACGGTGATACCAATCTATAAGAATAAAGGAGATCCCCAACGATGTGGTAACTACAGAGGTATTAAACTACTCAGCCATACCATGAAGCTATGGGAAAGGGTGAAATAGGCTATGTTTAGACAGGTTACTAGGGTTTCAGAAAACCAATTTGGCTTTATACCAGGCAGGTTTACTACGGAGGTGATTCATCTACTTCGACGACTTATGGAGAAATATAGGGAAAAAATAAAGATCTTCACATGGTGTTCATTGACATTGAGAATGCGTATGATAACGTTCCCCTTGATACGATCTGGAAGACCTTGGAAACGAGACTGATCCCAACTGATTATATCCGAGCGATTTATGATATGTACTGTAGATCCTACTATATACGTTAGGACTACAGTTGGCGACACCGAGGCATTCCCGGTGGAAATCAGACTCCACCAGGGGTCGGCTCTTAGCCATTACATCTTTGCCTTGATTATGGACGACATCTATTGTGCGACACCAAACGGTGTTCCATGGTGTATGTTTTTCGCTGACGACATTGTCCTAGTTGTTGAAACAAAAACTGAGCTAAATAGTAGACTGGCTACCTGGAAGACTACTTTGGAAGAAAAAGGTCTAAGGATCAATATGAAGACAGAGTATTTATGTTCAAACTTCAGTGGGAACCAAAACGATGAAGACGCAGAAGTATGCATAGAAGGGCACGTTCTCCCCTCAAAGGATTGTTTCAAGTATCTAGGGTCTATGATACATAAAGATGGGGGTATAGATGATGACGTTACACACCGTATAAAGGCAGGATGGCTAAAGTGGAGAGTTGCTACTAGAGTTTTGTGTGACAAGAAGGTGCCTCTAAAACTTAAGGGAAAATTTTATAGATTGGCAATAAGACCAACGCTGCTGTATGGATCAGAATGTTGGGCAATCAAGAAGGATCACGTAAGGAGGATGAAGGCCACAAAAATGAGAATGCTTCGATGGGCATGTGGTAGGACTCTGTGGGACATGACACCAAACTCTGCTATTAGGATGTCCTTAGGGGTGGTGCCTGTATCCGAAAAATTGAGGGAGGGAAGACTACGGTGGTTTGGGCATGTTCTTAGGCGACAACCGTCGGATGCGGTCAGGAGGATAAAGTCGATTACAACCGACGGTTCCAGAAGGAGATGACGACCAAGGCAGAAGTGGGAAGACTGCTTGAGATCTGATTTGAAGGATTTAGCCCTTACCGATGACATGACCTCTGATAGAAAAGTACAGAGACTTAAGACCAGGGTAGCCGAGTAGTGCGGGTCACAGCCATATGGTGTAACATCTCTGTCTACTTTTTAATGAGTTGAGTTAATTGATCGATGGAATTGGCCAAGAGGGGGGTGAATTGGCAATTAAAATTTTGGTGGAAGCTTTTGCAGAAAATTGAAAAGATTTGCACATCGATTTAGAGTGGTTCAACTTTCTCAACCAAAGTCTACGTCCACTACCTTAGCTATCCACACTAAGGATTTTTCAACAAATTCACTAATTTATTCTTTCTTTTGAGGCCAAAGAGATAACCTTACAACATCCTCAAGAATATACCCTAATTCTTGAGAACACTCTTTCTCAAAAAGGATATTACAAATTTGCAAACTTACAAGGAAATCCTCACAAGGTATATTGTTTGCACAATTCTAGAACAGAAAAAAGAACACTAAAAAATGAATACAATTGAGTACAAGTAGTGTTCTTGAAAGCAAAATGAATATTGAATGAAAAATAGGCTTGAAATGCTCAAACTTGAGGTTTGATGCTTTCTCTTTGATTCTCTCTTGATTCTTGTTTCTTGTGTTTTCTTGTTATTGGTCAATGTCTTCTAAGCTTGTTTAAATACACCTTCAAATGATTTTGAACATTGGGGATGATTAGTGGAGTCAATAGAGCCGTTTAAGTGTGAAAACAATTAATAAAATCAATTGGGAGCGTCAGTGCATCGATGCATACCAAAGGTGCATCGGTGCATCAAGTGTAAAATTCAAATATTTTGACCGTTGGACCCTTAGTGCATCGGTGCACTAAGAGTGCATCGATGCATGAAATGCATTCGATGTTTCAAAATAGAGTTCATCGATGCATGGCTAGTGCATCGATGCATGGCTGGTGCATCGATGCATCAAATGCATTTGATGTTTTCATAAAACTCTGAGTGCATCGTTGCATAGTATGTGCATCAATGCATGAAATGCATTCGATGTTCAAAATATTCCATGGTGCATCGATGCATGGATTGGTGCATCAGTGCATCACTTTAAAAATTTGATTTTAGGCTTGAAATGGTTCAAAATACTTTGTGAAAATTGTTTCAAAAATATATTAAGTATAAAACACAATTTTGCACATTTAGTAAGGTTTGAAATTGATCTTGAAGACTTGGAGTAATAATTTGATATTCGAGTAATTAAATTGAATATACTTAGAAAATCATTTGTAAAATCTTAAAATTCATTTATACTTAATTTGTTATATCGAAACATCATAATGTTTTCAATAATCTTCCCCTTTTTGATATAACAAAACATGTGTGTAATTTTAAGATTTTCTTTGAAAATAAATTTTGGAAAAATAAGTTTGAAATTACTCCCCCTTACTTTAACACTTCTCCCCTTTAAAACATTTTAACACTTTAACATTTCTCCCCCTTTTTGTTAAATCAAAAAGACTTAAAAATTGATTTAAACAAGGTTTTGAAAAACATAGCCAATTGATATATATATATATATATATATATATAGCTTAAGCTACTAAGATCAAAGATCAAAAGAGAGATTAGCCATTAGTTTCATAATCAATATTCATAATCAAATGCGAAATGGCATAATTGGTCATGATGAACTAATATGATGCAAAAATTAAGAAACATTAAGCTCAAAATAATAAAGTTAAAATCAAACCAAATATATATAAATATTAAGTTCAAAAATCCATAAAACAACAAATAAGTTCAAAACATCCAACAACCATCAAATTTAAACATCCAGAAACATCAAAATCAATCCAAGTTTGAAAATCCAAGAAAACATAACAAGGAAACAAATTCACTCCATCGGAGGATCGGGAGGTGGAGGATAATGAGCTTGAACTTCAAGAGTGAGAGCGTCCATACGTTCACGCATCTCCCACTGAAACTCAGTAATCTGAGACCTCATGGAGGCAAACCTCAGATCAAACGACTCCAAGAAAGATCGAAAATAGGGTGGCGTTTGATCTTCTTGTCGTGCTGGTTCAGGTGCAGGCTCAACTTCTAGTACATGATCGTCGATATCTTGCATAAGTTGTTGAAACTCAGGATCATCGTCCGCAGTCGGTGCCGGAGGAGGAGGAGCACAAGAAGAGCTAGAAGCAGCTCGTGAAGAACTAGCTCTCGGGGTTTTCTTACCGGGTCGAAAAACCCAAAGACCGGTTTCCTCATCTTGTTTCCAATCCACTTTCTTCAATGAGGTGAGATTGATTTGATTTTGGAGAGGGATAGGATTGTCGAGAGAGACGTTTAGACCGAGTTTGATAAAAAGGTTACTAAGAAGACATCCATAAATCAATGTTTCGACATGTTTTGAAGGAACAATGTTTATGATGTCCACTAGTTGACTAAATATAATGTGGGGCAGATTTATTTTGATCTTATTCTTGATACAGTGCATCCACCATAAATCCCTAGTACGAAGAGTAGAGTACCTACCTCCGATGGTCTAAACCACCAAGAGATCATCAAATGAAGAAAACGATCGTGATGAGATCGTAGAGTACTAACACTAGAGTTTGGAACATAGGGATATTCCACATTTTCATTCTCATTAAATAACCCATCAGCATCTAACCCAAAACGAAAAGCTATAGTCTCGGGGTCAATATTAATATATTGGCCTAAAAGATAGGATCTATTGGCTATAGTCCCATATTGAGTTTGGTTTTTAATGCATACCGTATTGGAGTATAAGATGTGGACTAACTGTTGATAGATGATAGGTTTGAGGTGAAACAATTTATCAAACTTCAAAGTTTTAAGAATCAGAAGGTATTCGAAGTCAATATCAATCATGGCTTGAAGAGAAAGAATATGCTCTTCCCGGATTCTATAGGATTAGAAAGAATTTTTGTACCTAGAGTACAATTCGTCTCTACGACGTTCAGGCATATCAAAACAAGATCCTATTATACTATTAGGTGGAGAAGGAACGGGATTTGGAGGTTGGTTTGAACGAGAACGACTCGATGACATTCTAGGGCGTTTGGAATTAGACATGGTTTAGAAATTGGAAAAAGGAATATAACCTGCAAATTGAAATACATGTATGCAATTTAATCAATCCCAAAACTCAATTGAGTCCTCAATAATTCAAGGTTCTCTAAATCAAATCCTAATGGGTAAGGTTTTGAAAACTATTTGAAAATAATTTTTGAAAAATTAAAACAACATAATTAAATCAAAAACATCAAATTTAAAAATTAAATTCTTATTTTCGAATAATTTTTTTTATTTCGAAAATTCAAAAATTTATTG